GGAGTCGGCGGCGCGGAGCCGGGGCGGCCCCGGGGAGGGACCGTCGCGGGGAGGGGCGCAGCAGTGGCTGGGGGGCTGCGGGCGCCAGGGCCCGCTAGTATTGCACGCGAAGCTGATCAGGGAAGAGCCTAGCAGAAGAGGGCTCAGCCCGAGCCAGCCTTTGTCTGGATTGGGGGCCCGTGGCAGGGAGGACGGGGACCTGAGGGGAGGGACCTGGACGGACGGAAGGGTCCGGACTGCGGCCACCACGGCAGAGCCAATTTGGTAGCGGGGTGAGTGTGTGCTAGGGGAAGGAGCGAACCTCTGAAGCCGCTGCAGGGCATGGGGCCTGTCGCAGGCTGTGGGGAGGAAAGGAGCGACAAGGGACCTGGGAGGCTTAGCAGGGGTTGGGGGGGCGTCCAGAACAAGGAGTCAAGGTGAGTCCGCCCGGCGCAGTTCGGAGGGTTGCGGAGGTCTGCTCCCTCTCCGTTGAGGGTGGAGGGCTCTAGGCCAGGGGGCGAGGGGCTGGGAGAGCAGAGGTTGACCCTCCTACCCCTAGCGGTGGTCTACGGGGTCAGCCACTGTAGTTTATGGGGACCGAGTGTAGAGCAGCTAGCAGCTCTTCCCTCTGCACAGGATGAGGGTGGATAGCACATGGACGGGGGTTCTTCCTGTCACCTTCCTCGGTCTGGGCAGAGATGGGTATCTTTAATATTGAAGGGAAGGAAGGGGAGAATTAGCCTGAAAGCTCTACCTGTACCAGCACCCACTTCTCCCACCTGCCTGGCCTAGCAGGTGTCTGAGGGTACAGACCCCACGGTATTCTGGGACTTGTTGTTTTTGCTGGCCTTGCTCCTCGGCATGTTGGGAGCTGTAGTCCTTGCCAGCCACGGCCTGGCACAGCTGTTTTGTGCTTGTGCTGCCCGTCCCCTGCACGGAGGGTGAGGTTTAGCCTACTCTGCCCTGCCCCCTTCAGTCCTGCCCCATGAGTCAGCTTGAAGCCATGATCTAGAGCCAGACTGGCTTGGTGGCAGGGGAGTGAGTCTTGGAGGATCTAGGTGATAGGGTGGGAACCGAGGAGCCTCTAGGGTAATGAGCAGATGCCAGGCGTGCTGGGGTCAAGTAGGGCACCATGTCATCACTTGGCTTCCCCAGGGCAAGGGCGCAGAAGGGAAACTGGAATAACCTGGAAGTCGGGGTATGAAGGCAAGGGTTCTTCCTGAACCTGTGTGGCTTGGGTGAAGGATAAGAGGGACAGAGGGGAGTGCAGGCTGTACCTTCAGACAGCACGGCCGTTCGTGTTCTGCCTTTTCCAGTCACCCCCCTCACCACAGAGGACCAGCACTTTTTAGGGCTCTTGGTGCAATGGGATGTGTGGGAGGCGGTGGTGGGAATAACTGGTGTAGTGAAGCTCTTCAGTCCCCTAGTGCGAATGTCTTCTTGCTCCCTTCCTCCCACCCCCATTTCTGTTGCCGATTTTCCTTGTACAACTCCTGCTTCTTTATCCTAGGAGCTTTTCTCTGCACTGTCAGGTCTGCTGCTCAGATTTCCAGGACTTGCATTCTATTTTCTTGAGCCCTGCTATTTGCTTTCCTCTGTGCTTGGCATTGTGCGGAGGAGTGGAGCGCTGACCTGTCCTCAGGAATTCCATGGTCAGCCTAGGAGGTACTCAAAGGGTGAACATGGTTGCCACTGGATTATAGGAAGTGGTGACATTGCCAGAGATGGGGTCTCAGAGGAGGGAGAAATGTTTATGACCTGGAATGGAAAGCAAGCTTTCTGGTTTGCTGGTTGTGGGGGCTGTGCTGGGGATGAAGCCCAGGGCCTTGAACATGCTAGGCAAGTGACCTACCACAGAACTACCCTGAGAGTAGACTTTCTGCAGGAGATGGCATTTGGCCTAGTGAAAGAGGATGAATAGGGCTTGAACAGATATATAAAGGAGACTCTTTGAAGGGGAGAGGGCATTTATATGGCAAGCAGCACAGGCTACTGCCTGAAGGAGGCCGACTCGGGGCAGTTGGCCTTCAGCTTGACAGTTCTCTCATCCTGGTACAGGCTCTTGACAGTAGATTGGTCTGTGAGGACCACCCTTTACCAAGGCAGAAACAAAGTGGTTTGGGATTTTGGGTTCTGGGGTGTGGGAGCCCTGGGGGAAGGGCGTAAAGAGATAACTAGTTGCTTCCAGTTGACTGCCTGCTGCTGCCTTATCTCCAGCTTGCAGGCCTGGGGGAGGAGTCCGGTCTGTGTCTGCCTGCGGTGCCTTCTCCTCCCCCAACCACTTGTTTTTGATTGGATTTGTTGTCTCTTCAGTAAAAAGACAGATTGCTTGGGGGGGGCGTTGGGAACTCAAGGCTGAAGGGCTGACTTGGCGCTGACCTGCGGTTTGTATCTAAAGAGTGTGTGATGGCCTGTGATTGTCTACAAGACCTGTGCCCTTCGCAGTCTGAGTGGCACCTGTCATGTGGGAAGAAGTTGTGCAACTTGGTTGCCTGGAGCAGGAAAGCTGAATTATTTCCCTGCCCGCCTGCTTGCTGGCACAGTCTCCCGGATCTTGGAGTCTCCCCTCCTGTTCAGGGTAGGAGTCCACAAGATGGTGACCCTGACAAGTGGTTCGTCTTGCCTCAACTTACTTCTCTCGACCTTGTTACTCTGAGCAAAGAGCTGCCTTTCTCGCTGCTCGGTAGTCTGAGCCCTGGATCCTTCTGTTTCTGAAGATGTCCTGAAATATTTTTGGCGCTGCCAACTGGGGATCCTGGCTTATGTCTGTGTTTCTCTCTCAGGGTCCAGCTGAGTCCAGGAGCTGCACGGAATGGTGGCAGACACCTTGCCAGTGCAGCGGGTATGGACCAGACGGCGAGCTAAGGGAGCAAGTTGTCAGTCAAGACGAGGGGACACACAGCTGGGCTTGAGATCTCTTTACCGTGGTAAGGGGCAGCAAGAGGGAGGGGAGCGGGTCCGGTAGGAAACCTGAGCTGAATTCACGGCCTACTCAGGAGTTCTGAGAGGAGTCTCTCTATTTGATTAGCCCACCTGGGGTTTAGATACCTTCACCCGCAGAACCCCTCAGGGTCACCTCTGCAGGCTAGGGAAGGGTCTGAAACTCATCAGGAAGGAAGGAAAGTCATTGATTCTCTTGCCCACCTTTTCTTCTTTTCTCTCGCACAGATGTCCCCAGGCCCCCCAGCCCAGGCCCAGCATAAAGGCCGTGTTGGGGGGCCCCCCCTGACCCAAGGTGGGACTTCATGCGCCACGTGCAGGCGGAGCCGTCTCCATCCTCAGAGCCAGAGGCTGGCCCTTCGCAGCCTCCAGTCAGACAGGGGGCCCTCCAGGGTGGCCTGCTCATGGGCTACAGCCCGGCAGGGGGGGCAGCATCCCCTGGGGTCTACCAGGTATCCATCTTTTCTCCTCCAGCTGGTGCCTCTGAGTCTCTCAGGGCTCTGAAGCGGCCAGCCCCACCCATTGAGGGTTCCCAGGAGACCAAGAGAGGCCCCGGTCTTGGGGCCAGAGAGGGACTGCGCCCTGAAGAACCATCTGCTGTGGGGCTGTGGGGCCCAGAGGGACTAGGGCTGGGCCTAGGTGCGGCCAGCCAGCATTTCTCCCACCATGGCCTCTGTGTTGTGGAGCAGGGAGGTAGTGCCACCTCACCTTGGACTTCAGGGCCTCGAAGTCCCCCTTGGCCCCCATCAAATGCTTCCTGCAATACTTTGCACACCAGAGACTGGGCTTCCCCAGATCCGGGGGGACAGGGGTCCCTGGGCGAGTCTCCAGGGTCAGCCCCTTCAGGCCAGCTGCACACACTTGACACTGATTTGCACAGTCTTGCACAAATAGGGGGTAAGAGCCCAGTGGCTAGGGTGGGCAATGGGGGCAGTCCCTGGCCCAGGGAGTCCCCCGGCACTGCCAATGGGCACAGTCCCGAGCACACACCCCCTGGCCCCGGACCTCCAGGCCCCTGCCCCACCAAGCGAAGGCTGCTTCCTGCTGGCGAAGCCCTAGATGTCAGCTCTGAGGATGAAGGGCCAGCCCCTCGGAGGCGCCGGGGAACCCTGGGCCACCCTCCTGCTGCCAACAGTTCTGATGCCAAAGCCACACCCTTTTGGAACCACCTGCTGCCTGGGCCCAAGGAGCCTGTTTTGGTAAGCCAATAGAAGCACTTACCTACTCCTAAGTGGGTACTTACGAGGCTGATGGCAGAGGCCTGGGGAACGTTCCTCTGCGAGCTGTGGTGAGCCCCTGCCTCAGGATACACCTGGCCTCCCCGAGGCTCTCTTCTCAACCTTTCCTCTCCGCAGGACCCAAAAGACTGCAGTCCCATGGCGCGGAGGCTGAAAGGTGCCCGTCGCCTGAAGCTGTAAGTGGCCAGCTTCTCCCTCACCCTGCCCTTGGGAGGAGGGCAGAAGCCTGCCATTCTCTTCCCAGTTCAAAAGCAGGGCAGGAGACCAAGATGGGTGTAAAACGTGGAGCCCAACGGTGTGAGCAGGAATCCCAGAGGGCCTCAAGCCACTCCACTGTGTGTTTCTTCCCCCACCAGGAGCTCCCTTCGAAGCTTCCGGAAAGGCCCAGGCCTGCTGAGCCCCCCCAGTGCTCCCCCTGTCCCCACCCCTGCTGTCAGCCGTACCCTGCTGGGCAACTTTGAGGTAGTTACCTTGGGCTTTGTGACTGAGGGATCTGTGGGGTTGTGGAGTGTGGCTCCGGCAGGTAAGGAAGAGAACGGGCATCTCTCTCACGTGTTTTCCCCACCTAACACCAGGAGTCATTGCTTCGAGGACGCTTTGTACCATCTGGCCACATCGAGGGCTTCACAGCAGAGATTGGAGCCAGTGGGTCCTACTGCCCCCAGCATGTCACGTTGCCTGTCACTGTCACCTTCTTTGATGTTTCTGAGCAAAATGCCCCGGCCCCCTTCCTGGTACGACCTGACTCCCAACCCACAGTTAGTTCATTACAAAGAGGAGGGCTTGGGCGAGAGGTATTCCGTAGATGTTCCTCACCCAGGAGTGATTTGGGCTCAAGTGGGCAAATTCTCTTGTGGGGCAAGGGCAAGTCTAGGGTGAGAGAGTGTGGAGAGAACCAGTATTCAGGGTTCAGGGCTCTCCGGGTGCCCACACTGACTGCTGGCTCCATGGTCTTCCCAGGGTGTCGTGGACCTGAACTCCCTGGGGAGGAAGGGTTACAGTGTGCCCAAGGTGGGCACCATCCAAGTGGTGAGTTTGCCCTGAGGAAATGGATGTGGGCGGAGAGGAAAACAGGCCCTCGGCCCTAACCTTGACCGTCCTGCCCCAGACCTTATTTAACCCCAACCAGACTGTGGTGAAGGTGCTCCTCGTGACCTTTGACTTCTCGGACATGCCTGCCGCCCACATGACCTTCCTGCGCCATCGCCTCTTTCTGGTGCCTGTGGGTGAGGGGGGGAACGCCAGCCCCACCCACCGCCTCCTCTGCTACCTGCTGCACCTCAGGTGAGGAGCCCAGGAACAGCCGGGGAGGCCCAGACGTCCTTCCCGGGATGGCATGCATCTCTCTTCGCTGCTCTGGTTCTGCGTTCTGGCTACGCTCACGCTGTCTTCTCTCAGGTTCCGGAGCTCACGCTCAGGCCGCTTGAGCCTGCATGGAGATATCCGCCTGCTGTTCTCGCGCCGGAGCCTGGAGCTGGACACAGGTCTCCCCTATGAGCTTCAGGCTGTGACCGAGGCCCCCCACAATCCGCGTTACTCACCTTTGCCCTGATTGTCAGTGCTCTGAACCTAGGTGGGCCGACAGCTTTCCCACCGAGCTCCATCCTGGGCAGAGTAAACATGCAGAGAGAAGGCAAGAGCCTCTTGAGGCTTGTTAAAATCCTTGCCACACTCATGCCCAAACCGATGACTTGGGTGTGCAAAGCTTCTGATCCTTTCACACCCTGCCCTACTCCGGGTACTCCATGTGCCTGTCCCCTCCCTTGGGTTTTCCAGGCCAGCTTAGGTAGTAGAGAAGAACCAAGAACCAGAGCTACCCTGAGACTGTCCCAAGTTCCCAGGCAAGTCATGCCAGCGTTGCCTCCCTGTCCTGGGCCAGGGACCACTTATTATTTTATTTATTTTTAATTTATAACTTATTCAAATTGGGTTGCCTTGGTAACCTCCCAGACCTGATAATTGGCATCACCCCTCCTCCTTTCCCACTCTCAGATATTGCTCCAGCCTCGGGAGTTGAAGAGGCCGATGTGGGGGCCCGGGGAGAACTGCTGTCACTCAGCTGAGGGCAGAGGCTTACTCCAGAGGGACTGAGTCACTAGCCAAAGGCTCAGATTCCCCTGTCCCTGTTCCCTCCACTCGCCCTACCCTCGAACCCATCTTTGAAAGCCAACTTTGTGTGTGTGCATGAGCACAAGCTCATGTTTGTGTAAGAAAGCGTGCATGTATGCACACACACGGGGGTTAACCACCCTTCATCTAGGGCTCCGGACCCAGTTGTGCCCCTTCTCCTGCCTGTGTTTCTTTGCTTTGGGGTCCTGACTGAGGAAGGTGTCCAGGGGCAGAGTCAGGGCCAAGGACTGGGGTGCCTCCTTTCACCTGGCCAGACTCTGACCCGCCTACCTCAGCTGGGGTGAGGGGCACCCCTCAAACTCAGTTATGTGGTTCCCAACTACCCCATCCCCCACTTCAGACTCTACCAACCCTCAGCCCTTGACTCCTAGGCTGGGGCTAGGCTGAGGGGAACAAACATTTTCTGAAACTTGAAGAAAACAAAACAAAACAAAAAGCAGGAAAAAATTGTACCTGGTACTTTTTTTTAGAAAAATAAATAAAAAAGAATAAATTCTTGTTTGGAAACTTGAACTAAGCTCCGCTCTTTTTGTTGGAGAGAGGATGTGAAGAGGTAACGGGCTGCGACTGCCTTTTCTCCCATGAGCCTCGGCCCACGAAGTGTTCAGGTGGGTCCTGAGGGTTCCTGGGTCATGGTCTTGTCCATTCCCATAATGAGGGTGCTAGAAATGTAGGGCAAAGTTCAGTGATAGATCTCAGTGGGTCTGGATTTGTTTGTTTTGTTTTGAAGTACTGGGGGGATTGAACCTAAAGCTTTTTCACTGAGCTACATCCACAGCCCTTCTTGGTTTTGATTTTGAGACAGAGTCTTGCTAAGTTACTCAGTCTAGGCTCAAACTTGTGATCCTCCTGCCTCAGCCTCCCAGAGTGCTGGGATCACAGGTGTATGCCACCACACCTGACTAGATCTGCGTTTTTATACTGGTTCTGTTACTGACTTTAGAGCACTTTCAGTGCCCTTATATGTAAAATGAGGATAACTGTTTATAGGCCTCTTAAAAGATGTACCACCTCAGCAAGGTGACATGCTTCAGAGAGGGTTGAGGCCATCTGCTGGACTCTGTGTGCAAGTGGACCAGGCCTGATAAGACTATGATTGGGAAGAGGTGGAAAGAGTTGTGCTGTCTTGGGAAAAGAGGAGAGGGGGGAATCTAAGTCCAATCATCCTGGCAAAGTTAGGCTCGGTTACCATGACAACGGGAATGGGGTCAGTTCCCAGTGGGAGGGCTGGGCGCAGCAATGTCACTATGGCAACCGTGGCACCGAGTCAGCGCCAACACACTAGTCGCTACGGCGACAGGTGGGGCGATTATACGCCTTGGAGGGTAAACCGAGTCTTTGAGACGTAAAGAATCGGTAGGAAGTGTTTATAGGACAGCTGCAAGCGGAAAATAGCCTTCATTTCCGCCAGAATGCCCAGAATTTTGGGCTCAAATAGCGGGAACCAGAACAAGCTGCAGTTTTGGCACTCGCTGGAAGGTCTGCGTTTCCCGGGGAATAACTTGATGCACACTCTGCTAATTAACGCCGACTGGAGGAGTATTCAAGGGGGAAAGCCACGAGGAAGTACTTCCGGGTCAGAGGACCCGCAGGAGAAAAGGCTCGGGTCTGTGCTTGTGGAGCGGCCTCTCTGCTCCGCGTCTCGTTGGTTCCGGAGGTCGCTGCGGCTGTGGGAAATGCTGGCGCGCGCGGCGCGGGGCACTGGAGCCCTTCTGCTGAGGGTGAGCGTCAGGCAACCTTCTCCAGAGGGTCGGGACAGCGATCGTCTGTGTCCTAGCCGGGAAGGAGCGGGATTCCAACTTTGGGGAAAGAGTGGGGTCAGAGGTCATGGCCCACGTGAGCCGTTCCCCGGGGACCTTCGATGGTCGCCGTCCGGGACGCGGGGTTGAGGGGCGGGTCGGGGCGGGTCGGCCGGCCCCGGCTCAGCGCGCTGCTCTTCCCTCCAGGGCTTCGCGCGGGCGCCCGGCCGCGCTCCGCGCCGCGCCTCCTCCGGCTTGCCCCGCAACACCGTGGTGCTGTTCGTGCCGCAGCAGGAGGCCTGGGTGGTGGAGCGGATGGGGCGCTTCCACCGCATCCTGGAGCCCG